TTGTTCAGCTTCTCCTAGTTACTATTCAATCCACGGCTCTATTCTTTCCTCGAAGCTCAGGGTTTCAGGATTATCATTTGTATCTGTTTCATTTGGTCTCCTGTGTCTTTGTTGTAGAGGGTCAGCGTAGTGTGTCTGACTAGACCATTATCTTGTCAGAAGTCTCTCATTCTTCTTTTCTAAGTTGTTCCTCCCCCCTTAACATAAACTCACTCTTCCCTATGGTTCCTATCTAATCTTTTGAATTGCTATTGTCACTTTGATCCTATCTAGATAGTTCTTAAAAGAGCATAAGGCTGAAGGCAGACATTTTTTAGTAGTTAAGCTTAAGTATTTGGTTTTAACAAGACTTCAAGATTTTGGTTTAAGTTTTAAAGATTATCCAACGGAAATTATTTCAGGGGTTTATCTAGCCTCCAAGGTTCAAGAAAGCCTGAAGTTTAGAAGAATTTGAAATTTTGTTCTGCAGTTTTCTCCTTTTTGATTAGGATTCTTCTTTTTTCAACTTAGTTTATTCCACTAAATCACCCCCACAAAAAAAGTATATGATTTACATGCCCAAATTTGGTGCTGTTAACTTTATTCTTAGACTCCTAGTGTGGCGCTACAGAATCAGCACTGAACTGTGAACCACAAGATTGGCAGTTGAAACCCACCAGCTGCTCCTGGGAAACCCTATACAGGGTTGCTATGGCCTTATAATGCCAACTCAAAGTAAGACCTGTTCATTACCAGTTCGTAATTAGATAAGAAATTTACACTATAATGTAAATAAACCACACCACTAAGCATACTGCTTGATTCAACTGACTTTTTTTTCTTTTTGATAGCAAAACTTCCTAAGTAACGGAAGGCATGTGCTGATTTACATCGTGGCACATGTTACTGTAACTCATTGTAAACTAGCACTTTGAGTACATTGGTTATAAGCAGAAGTGGCCTGTAGCATCACAGGGAAGGCTCCTTAGGGAACTGGATCATCTGGGAGAGACCTTTTTTATATTTCATTTTTTGTGCTTCAGTTCATATATGTGGCTATGAGGTTATTTTAGGTAATTCATACATTAACTTTTTTTTTAAGTCCACTTCTTTTCTGTTTTTATTACTTATTCAGTATAATACAGTTAGCAGTTATTTACCAACAAAAAAGTGTACCAGAGATATAAGCTAGAATGAAATTATGATTGGCATATGGAGTAAGTTGTGTTGCTCTTGTTATTAGGTACCGTCGAGTTGGTTCTGACCTATAAAGATCCTTCGTCCAACAGAAGGAAACATCTCCTGATCCTGTGCCATCTTCACAATTGATGCTACACTTGAGCCATCACTGCTATCACTGTGACAATCCATCTTGTTGAGGGTCTCTCACTTTTTCGCTGACTCTACAGTTTACCTAGCACCTATCTATCCTGATATGTCTGAAGTATGAGAGACAAAGTCTGGTCATCTTGGCATCTAAGAAACATTCTGGTTGTACTTCTTCCAACACAGATTTGTTTGTTCTTCTGGCAGTCCATGGTACCTTCAATATTCTTCCCCAACGCCATAACTCAAATGCATCAATTCTTTTTTGGTATTTCTTATTCATTGTCCAACTCTGAGTCAGGTACATGTTAATCCTCAGACTGATATCTTTACTCTTGAACACATTAAAGAGGCCTTGTGCATCAGATTTGCCTAAAGCAATATGTTGTTTGATTTCTTGATTGGCTGCTTCCATGAATGTTGATGGTAAATCCAAGCAACATGAAGTCTTTTAAAACTTCAATCTTTTCTCCATTTATCATAATGTTATTTATTAATCCAATGGTGAAGATTTTTGTTTTCGTTACATTGAGGTGCAACCCATACCAAAAGCTGTGGTCTTTGATCTTCATCCGTAAGCATTTAAAATTCTCTTCTCTTTCAACAAGCAAGATTGTATCATCTGCATATCGCAGGTTGTTAATGAGTCTTCCACTAATCTTGTTGTCACGTTCTTCTTCATATAATCCTACTTCTCAGATTATTTGCTCAGAATGAATAAGTATGATGAAAAAATATAACCTTGGCACACAAATTTCCTGATTTTAAACCATTCAGAGTCCCTTTGTTCTGTACGACTGATTGCCTCCTGGCCTATGTACACGTTCCCCATAAGCACAATTAAGTATTCCGGAATACTCATTTTTCTGAAATGGTTTCCATCATTTGTCATAATCCACATAGTCAAAAGGCTTTGCATAGTCAATAAAGACAGGTAAACATCTTCCTGGAATTCTCTGCTTTCAGCCAAGATCTATCTGATATGATGTCCTCATCTGAGTCCAGCTTGAATCTCTGGAAGTTCTCTGTCAATGTATTGTTGCAGCTGTTTTTCAATTGTCTTCAGCAAAATTTTACTTGCATATGATATTAATTATATTGTCTGATGATTTCCACATTCCACAGGGTTGCCTCTCTTTGGAATGGCCGTAAATATGAATCTCTTTCAATCAATTGGCCAGGTAGCTATCTTCCAAATTTCTTGGTATAGATGAGTGAGTGCCTCCAGTACTACCTCAGTTTTTAAAATATTTTAATTTGTATTTCATCAATTCTCAGAGCCTTGTTCTTTGCCAGTGCCTTGAATGCACCTTGGACTTCTTCCTTCAGTACCATTGGCTCTTGATTATATGCTACCTCTTGAAATGGTTGGACATTGACCATTTGTTTTTGGTACAGTGACTCTGCGTATTCTTTCCATCTTCTTTTGATGCTTTCTGCATCATTCAATATTTTTCACATGGAATCCTTCAACATTTCAAGTCAATGCTTGAATTTTTTCTTCAGTTTTTTTCAGTTTGAGAAATGCTGAACGTGCTCTTCCCTTTTGGTTTTCTAACTCCAGATCTTTGCACATTTCATTATAATACTTGACTTTGTCTTCTCGAGTTGCCCTTTGAAATTTTCTCTTCAGCTCTTTACTTCCTCCTGTCGATTTAGCATCTCTATGCTGGAAAGCAAGTTTCAGGGTCTCTTCTGACATCCATTTTGGTCATTTCCTTCTTTCTTGTCTTCTCAAAGGCCTTTTGCTTTCTTCCTGTATAATGTTCTGATGTCATCTAATAACTTTTCTTGTCTTCAGTCTTTAGTGTCTAAAGCATCAAATTTGTTCCTCAGATGATAAATTCAGGTGGGATATGTTCAAGATCATATTTTGGCTCTCATGGACTTGTTTTAATTTCTTTCAGCGTCAGCCTGAGCTTGCACATGAGCAATTGGTCTGTTTCACAGTCTGCCCCAAGCCTTGTTTTGGCTGACTATATGGAGCTTTGCCATCGCCAATTTGATTTCTGTGCATTCCATCTTGTGAGGTTGGCTGTTCAAACTTACAAGCAGCTCCTTGGAAGCCCTTTACAGAATCCCTAGGAATCTGAACAGACTCCATGGCACTTAACAACAGCTAAATCAAGAGTCCTCCTGCCTTCCTGCTTGTTCTCCATTTCCTGCCCTGGGCTTAAAACGGATACTCCAGGAGTGACATGAACTTTTGTGCTGGATCTATTCTGACTGCTAAAAGTGTTCCGATGGACAAAGGGATCCTGCCTTCATTCATTCATTCATTCATTCATTCACAGAATCACAAAGTAATTGAACCATTATTCACTCCTTCACTGGTTAAATAAAATTTTATGGTCCAAAAGATGGTGGTAACACTAGTAGCTTTTTAATTTTACCTCCTTTTACAATCATCTGTAACTATTGCTGTTGTTAATTGCTGTGGAGTCACTTTCGACTCACAGCGACTCTGCAAGTGATTTCCATAGAGCAGCTGGTGGGTTTGTGGTCAGCAGTCCAGTGCCTGTCCTACAGCGTCACACCAGGACTCCTTTATATCTTTATACTATTTAATATATTCATAACAGACGAGTATTAACAGACAGCGAGTAAATCCAACACTCTTAGGAAGATTTCTGTGAGCCATCCAGAGTGAAGCCAGTGGGGCTGGACCGTCTCAGAAACCGGCCTTTCCACTTTGACTGTGCCTTTCTCTTTAAGAATCTGAACTTCACTCTCTGAGGAGACAAGAGAAGGAGTGGGCACTCTGGACCTCTACCTCACCAGGTGCCTGAAGACGTCCTAGATGACTGCTGCTGTCTCTTTAAGAAGGCCGGGCTCTACCCGGAGGAGGCGGAGAAGCTCCGCCCCTCGGATCTCCGGCTTCCGGGAACTTCGTGGTACCTCTCAACTGGCGCGGGGTTTCTGAGGCCCCTCTACCCGGGATCTGCTGGGCGCTGAGTCCCGCGAGGTGAGGCTACCGGGTTTGCGGGACAGACGCGGAGCGAAAAGGAACTGTGAGCATCTTCCTGGCCGGGCCGCTGTGGCCCACCTTCTCTCTCTAAAACATTGCCTTGGCTTCCGCGGCAGCATTATCAAACCTACCTGGGTTCACAGTGCACTTGGCTGCATCATCAACACTCACCAGCACACACTCATTGCTTGGCTCTGCGCTCAAAACCTTGCTTGCATGGCCTCATTTAATCGTCCCAACAACCATGTGAGTAGGTACCATGGTGAACCCATTTTACAGATTAGAAAACTGAGGCCCCGAGGAGCCCACAGCTACACAGCGAGAAGCAGATTCGGGAGACGAATCCAGTTCTGTCTGACCTCCAGAGCCTTGTGTCCTTAACCACTGGTTAGGCTAAACTGCCCTTGCTTTACTTCACTGTCCCTTTAGCCACCTCCTTCCAACCTTAACGTCTTCTTTCTCCTGGCTGCGTCTAGTCCCTAAACAGTCAGACCATGTATGAGATTGGATGGAACTCTTAACCACCAGAGTCAGCTTTGTTGTTTTAAAATTCTTACAATGGTTTTAATAATAACTGATGCAGAGTAATCTTATATAAGCCTGTCCAACCCCACTGAAAAGGAAGCAAGGGAAAGCCGTGCCTTTTCTAATCCTGAAATGAGATACTTGCAGGTATTTTATGTTGTTATTCTATTAAGTTTGTTCGTTTTTTTTCTTTTTAGACCCTGCAGATTTACTGAATGGCAGCTGCAGATGACTTGCAGTTTGAAGGTACATCAGTTGGGTACCCACCTTTATGTTTATGCCCATTATTTCCACCATCACGGCAGCAGATTTTCATTGGTATACTGGTTCCTACATTAAAGAAAAGTATTTCGAAAATCGTGCTAAAAGAGTGTTGCCCATGTTCAAGCATTTCTGTGTGTCCACAGCAGTTGTTGTGGTTTCAGATTGTTGATTGTTGCTATCATAAATTTAGTGTATTGATTACAGAAACTGTTTATACCATTCCTGCTTTAGTTCAACAAACATTTATTCAGCGTCTACATTGTGGCTGGAATTGGAGATAAAAAGTTAAAGAAGAAGATAAAGGTATAGATTAAAGTGTAAACAGATAGTTATAATAAAATACGATCAAGTAATTCTTTCAGTGAATCAACAAGTATCTCAGGAGTGTGACCATAAACCAGGAAATTGTTATAGTTATCAGGGATGGAAGAATGAACAAAACCATTTCTGCTCTTATTAAGCTCTTAGGCTAGTGAGGGAGACATTCATTTGTTAAGTGATCATTCAGATATATCTCTATAAACTATGAAAGTGCTGGAAGAAAAGTCCAGGAGAATATTAGAATTTACAGTCCAGAACGTGAGCTAGGGCAGGGAGTGAGAAATGCTTATTTGTCTTATATTTACATTTGTTGTTGTTAAATCAGCTTCAAGAATGAAAAGTTGCCTTGTCCTAGTCCATCTTCATTATTGTTAGGGTGTCTGAGTCTGTTGTGGCCACTGGGTATTTTACATGTCTTACAACCTGGGGAGTTCATTTTCTAGCACTAGATCAGACAGTACTCTGTTGTGATCCATAGGTTTTCATTGGCTAATTTTTGTAAGCATGAAACAGGGCCTTTCTTCTTTCTCTAGTCTGGAAACTCCGCTGACACTTGTCCACCATGGGTAACCATAGCTTCCAGCATCATAGTAGCACACAAGCCACCGCAGAGTGACAAACTGATGGGTAGTGGAAACATCTACATATCACGTACTTTGTCAGGCACTGTGCTTTATTAACTCATTTAATCCTCATATCAACTTTGTGAAGTAGATGCTTACTTTATCAACCTTTATTTTGCCAGTGAGGAAACTGGGGCACAGAACAATTAAGTAATTTGCCTGAAGTTCTCATTAACAAGTGGTAAAGCTAAGATTTAAACCCAAGTAGTGGGTCCTATCAGAAGGAAAGATAGGATGTTTAAAGGGAAATTCAACTTACTGGCAAATGCTATTAGCTCCATCTTCAAAATATATCTGGCATCTGCCCACTTTTTCTATTACCACCATGATCATCACTGGCAGCTATGTAGAGAAAAGGAAATATACCAAAATGTTAATGTCTACCATTGTATAGTGGGACAAAGGATGAATTTTATTTTCTGGTTGCTCCTTTCATTTCTGTCTCCATAGTTTTTATAGTGATTGCATGTGTTATTGGAAAAAATAGCTTTCTTTAAAATTCTTTGAACTTGAATCAGAGAAGAAAGATTTAGATTGGGTAGCCTCAGAAACCCTAAACAGGGTTGATCTGAGTCAGAACCGACTCTGTGACCCATGACCACCACCACCGTGAGAAAACTGGTGAAATCACTTACTCAGGCTCATCTAGTTAGTAAATGAGCAGGACTAAGACACTGCCGTGTCTGCCTCCAAATTCTGTTGTCTGAATCATCTTTGTATGTCAGCTTGATTTCTAGATGAGATTTCACTTTTCAGAGTCACTTGCCATTTATCAGATAGCGTGCAGAGCTTGCCTTTAAATGAGAGGGCTAGCATTTCCAACGTGGGTTAGGTCTCTGATGCCCTTTTACTCTCTTTCTCTCTTCAGAATTTGGTGATGCAGCTACTTCTCTAGGAGCAAACCCAGATGACACTACGATAAGCATCGAGGATCCTGGCGAAACCCCAAAGCACCAGCCAAGACTGCTAAGAGGCTCAGGGAGAGAAGAGGATGATGACTTACTGGGGAATGATGACTCTGACAAAACTGAGGTTCCATTTGATTTTAAAATGATGTTTTTAGTTTTTAAAAAGTTTTTCATGCATGTACTATTTACTATCTATGTGCCAGGTTCAGTGGCAAGCAGGGCCAACACAAAGGCAAATCAGATGTGGCTTCTACCCCGGTAGATAATACACAGTCTGGCAAACAGATCATAAGTTCACATTGGAAACACCAGGGAGTTGTGGAAGCAAAAAGAAGAAAATTAGGAAAGCTTCCTGGAGACTTGTTGTTATTATTGCTAAGTGTTGTCAAGTTGGTTCCAACTCATAGCGACCCTGTATATGGTTTCTGAGAAGCAGCTGATAGGTTTGAACCACCAACCTTCCAAGTAGTAGTCCAGTATGTATACTCCGGTGCCACTCCTTCCTGCAGGCAGTGCCACTAAAATAAGTTGTGAATGAAATGTAGGAGTTAGCCAGGGGGTAAAAGGTGAGGAAGGGGGATCTAGGCAAAGGGAATGATTTTAGTGGCATCATAGAGGCATGAAAGAATCTAGTACAGACAGGAAACCCAGAACCTGGATCCACTGAGAGAACAGCATAGGGTGAATACAGGAGATGAGGCCAGAACTCAACCTAGGGAGTATCTTTACATGTTTCATTATAATACTGGACTTTGTCTTGAGTTGCCCTTTTACATTTTCTGTTCAGCTCTTTAACTTCCTCATTTTTTCCATTTGCTTTAGCATCTCTATGCTGGAGAGCAAATTTCAGAGTCAATTGATATCCAATTTGGTCCATTTCTTTCCTGTCATTTTAATGACCTGTTGTTTTCTTCTTGTATGATGTTCTTGATGTCATCCCACAGTTCTTCTGGTCTTTGATCACTAGTGGTCTATTTTGGACTTCATGAACTTGTTGGACTTTTGTCATGCTGTCTCCAACATAATTGTGTCATGCTGTCTCCAACATAATTTCTATTCCTGATTCTTAATGGATGTTTGCAGCTGTTTCTCCTCATTTTGAGCTATGAAGGTCCCCATCAGCAAATGAAGGTCTTACAAGCTTTACTCCATTTGCGCATCATGGCCAATTCTACTTTGAGGAAGAAACTGTTCCTTGGTCGCATTTTGAGTGCTTTCCAACCTAAGGGGCTCATCTTTTGGCACTGTATCTGCCAATATTCTGGTGCTATTCATACTGTTTTCAACTTCTGGCACTGTATTTGACAATGTTCTACTGCTATTCATAAGGTTTTCAGTGACTAAACGTTCAGAAGTAGTCCGCCTCTCCTTCCTAGTCTTTCTTACTTTGGAAGCTCAGCTGAAGCCTATCCATCATGGGTGACCCTGCTATATTTAGAATACCAGTGTCATAGCTTCCAGCTTCACAGCAACATGCAAGTCACCACGGTACAACATACTGACAACTGAGTGGTGGTGAGCAGTTGTTGTTAAGTACTGTTGAGTTGGTTCTAACTCATAGTGACCCTGTTTAAGGTCCAAGGAAGGTGGTGAGCAGTAGCAAGCGTCAATAATTTTAGAAGAAATATATAGGGAAAGAAGTCTTAAAATTGAAAAATTCTATCATCTTAATTTTACCTATGCATTAGGAAGAGGCTGACAGTATTCCATGATGTAGTAGAATTTTTTGGCCTTGTTTATGGAATATGGGTCTCTGGTGCTCAGTAGCTTATAATTTTAGGATTGGAAAGAACTTTTATTGTCTTCTATTTCACCCTTCCTAGATATGAATGCTATCTATGGAATAGATAGTACTTGATAGAAAGATGGTACTTGAATACCTCCAAGAACAGAGTGTCCAATACTATGTAAGGCAGCCCAGGCCATTTTGGCAGTTCTAATTGTGAAGATTCTTCCTTTATGATGAAGAAAAACCATCTGTCCATAGCCCCTGCCCTTGTCTGCAAAGCTACTCAAAGTCATTCTGTATCTTGTGCTGCATGAATCCTCTTCAGCTATTTGAAAATGCTGGTCAGGAGTCTTGGTACTGGGTCTCTATTCTATCATGACAGAGCCTTCCTGTTGGGACAGGTGTGACCTTCCTTGTATGCTTCTTCCGAATTGTAATTTTTTGTGTTTTATGTAATAGCAGTACCATTTTAAGTTTCTGAGTACTTTACAATGAATGAAAACATCAGATTTGTAAGACAAGTAGTGCTAAGAATCTTGAGGGATAGGGAGAGGAAAAGACATTTACAGTGTCTACTAACTATATGACTCCTGGTGTGGTGCTGTAGGATCAGCAATGGACTGCAAAACAAAGGTTAGCAGTTCAAACCCAGTAGCTGCTCCTTGGAAACACTATGCAGGGTCGATATAAGTTAGAACCGAGTTGATGGCGCTTACACACCAACTTACTATATGTGTAATACGAATATGAGGGGCTTCAAAAAGTGCTTGGAATAAAAAGACAACAGAATTTTTCTATGAATTTTTGAATCCCCCTCATATTATAGTACATAATTTTAAAAAAATAAAAAAGTTGTTGTCAAGTCATTTCCAAGTCATGGCAAATGTGTGCGAGTATAAGTACCCTATCGCGTTTTTAAGACTGTGACCTTTAGAAGTAGATTTCCAGGCCTTTTTTCTGTGGTACCTGTGGGTGACTCAAACCTCCAGCCCATTAACTGTTTGTACCACCCAGGGACTCCCTTGTGCATAATATATAATGATATAAAATCCTGAATGAAAACCTCCCGATAATTCTATGAGGTTAATCTTATTCCTGGGTGACTCTAACAGTTAAACAATCAACTACAAAGGTTGACAGTTGAAATCCACCCAGAGGCTCCTTGGAAGGCCAGCATGACAATCTGCTTCCAAAACGTTAAAGCCTTCAAAACCGTATGGCGAAGCTCTACTCTACATACGTGGAATCACCGTGAATTGGAATCAACTTGAAGGCAACTAACAACAACAAGGCTGAGAAGTCTAGTGATTTGCTAAAACGATTAAATAGAGGAGGGAGTCCTGGTGGTACAGTGGGCAAGTGTTGGACTGCTGATCTGCAGTTCAAACCACCAGCCACTCCTCAGGAGAAAGATGATGCTGTCTGCACCTATAAAGATTAACAGCTGTTGGAAACCCTAGAGAGCAGTTGTACTCATAGCATAGAGGGTTGCTGTGAGTCAGAATGTACTTGCTGGCAGTGGTTAGTGGGTATTAAGTAGAGGAGACTTCTGGTATGACTTCAGAACTGACGCTTGTTTTGTATCAGGTACAGATATTACAGAATGGGTTTATGAATGAAGAGCCTGTTCATTCCCATGTCTTGGCTTTCTATGAAATAGATCAATGCTTTCTCTCTTTCAGCACAGGGGAGTTAGAAAATTACTTCTAAATTTTTTATATTTATTTTATCTCGGTTAGTTACTTGCTGGACAGAAGAAAAGCTCCCCCTTCTGGACATTTGAGTACTATCAAACATTCTTTGATGTGGACACTTACCAGGTTAGTAGACCAGTTTCACCTTTTCTTTCACTTGTGTTGGAGACTTGTTTCTTTTATGGTTAAACATTCAAATGATCTGAATGTCTGTGTATCCTGGAGATGATCTTATAAAAGTAAAAGGCTGTTAGCATTTGAAAAATACTAATATCTTCATAAAAGCACTAATAAATGAGTTGCAATTTTTGCAAGAGTTGAATTTATTAAACTTTTAAAACCTCAGTAGGCTTATTGCTATCTTATTTTCCAGGTCCTTGACAGAATAAAAGGGTCTCTTTTGCCAATACCAGGAAAAAACTTTGTGAGGTTATATATCCGCAGCAATCCAGATCTCTATGGTATGTGCAATGCAGTTTGACTTTTTACCATATACCAGTTGAGCTCAGGTGAGTAAGTAGGCTACCTGAAAAGTTGGAGGAGTGCATTGTTAAGTTGGAGGAGTGCATTGTTGGAAGAAGCGTGCAAAGTTTAATTCGATTTCTATGAGCTTCAGGAGTAAACCGTGTAAAGAGTTTTGGGGAAAAGCAAGTATATTTTGTATTCATGCCATGATTGAAAGTAATAGCTCTCCTTTGAAAGTATTCAAATGACATTGCAAACTTGAGACCCATTAATTCACTTTATCTAAGAGATTTTTCCATTTTAATTTGTGGAGAATTTGATTGAGGGGACTCTGCCTTGAAGGGGTTGACTCCCCTTAAGATGTGGAGCAGTGGGACTTTCTCCAGGGGTGTGGCCTGCATCCAATGCATATAGATGTTCCAGCAAGGCTCACACTCACTGTGGTTCTTTCATCTAGCTTGTCATCATCTGACCTTTAGTCCCTGGAAGATGAGCCAAAGAGCCTGCTGCTTGACCTCTAGAATTTGTGATTTGTCAGTTCCTAAAAGAGCTTTGGTAGCATAGTGGTTACAAATCGGGCTGCTAATCTCACGGTCAGCAGTTCGAAACTACCAGCTGTCCCTAGGGAGAAATATGAGGCTTTCTGCTCCCGTAAAGATTTACAGCCTCGGAAACCCTGTACAGGGTCGCTATGAGTCGGAATTGACTCCACAGCACATAACAACAACAACGACAACCCACCATAAGAAGTCCTGGTGTGGTGCTGTGGACTGCAAAGTCATTTGAACTGCAAGGTTGGTGGTTCAAGCTCACCAGCTGCTCCTTGGAAACCCTACACAGGGTCACTGTGGGTTGGAATCGACTCGACGGCACTTCACAACAATCACAACAACACCCACCATGAGCCTGCAGTCTGCCATCTGACTTGCATATTTTAATTTGTCAGCCCCTCCAACCACATGTATCAGAAGAAGCCTCCAATCTAATGCCTGACCCACAGTTTTGGAATTTGCCAGCCTCCACAACTGTGTGAGCCATTTCTTTGAATTAAATCTCCAGTAGCAGAGTGGGTTAAGTGTTGGGCTGCTAACTGCAAGGTCAGCAGTTTGAATCTACCAGCCACTCCATTGGAGAAAGATAAGACTTTCTGCGCCTGTAAGGATTTATAGTCTCAGAAACCCTATGTAGGGTTGCTATGAGTGGGAACCGCCTTGACGGCCCACAACTACCACCACAATATAGATTTATACTGCAGTATTTTGTTCCCCTAGAGAACTTAGCCTAAAACATTTGGTGCTGAGAGTGGTTCTAAAAAAACAAAACCTATGGTTTTTCTGGATTTCTGAATAAAGATGAGTTTTCTGAATTGGTTCTCACGTCTGGCTAGTCTTAAGGCATTAATGACTCTGCCTCCCTTAGAGGGAGCTGCGAATCCATGGTGTGAGGTGACAGTAGAAATATGAAAAATATTACCACCACCAGATTAGATTTTTGTGAGAGACAAAGCTTTGGGTGATTGCATAGATGATACATTTCTACGGTTTTGGCAGAATGAGATGTATAAGGAAGCTGGCTATAACTCAAGTGCTACATGAAAGATTTAAAAGTTGCCATTTGTGCCCTGAAAAAAAGCCGTATTTTTTTTTGTAATAACAGGGCTGATACTGCCAAAAACCAAAATCAGAGTCTTTCATAAGTGTGGCTGAATTACAGCACCAATTGAACTCCTAGTGGTGTCTGAACTGACACTAATTCCAAGAAACCCAGAATGTCACCAGTCAGAGCGGCGGTGTATGGAGACCAGGTTATTAATGGAATCTTAGCTCAGGTCTGCCTCACAGTGGATTCAGTGGGTCCCTGAACTCATCCTGTAGTGACTTCCCAGTTTCAGAATGCATCATTTTAATAGTTGTACTCAGCAACTGGCAGAACCCCAGCACTGTATGCTTAACATGTGGAAGAAGGGCTATTATAATAGGAAAAGCCAAGTGGAAACCATTCAAACTGCCCCCACCTGGAAAAATAGAAATCTAAAAGCAATACCACATCCCTGGAGGTGTTGGGTAGATTACAGGACTTGAAAGATGCAGGGATGGTGATTTCTACCACGTCCACATTGAGCTTGCCTCTTTGGCCTGTGTAAAAAATAGATTGATCTCGGAAAATGACAGTGAATTATCAAAAACTTAACCAGGTGGTGACTCTAATTGCAGCTGCTGCTCTAGATGTGGTTTCATTACTTGAGCAAATGACTACACCTCATGTTAGTTTGTATGCAGCTGTTGATCTGGCTAATCCCTTTGTTTTTCCATATCTGTTTTGAAGGACCACTAGAAGCAGTTTGCCTTCATCTGAGAAGGCCAATAATACACCTTCACTGTCTTACTTCAGGGGTGTGTCAACTCTCCAGTATTATGTCATAATTTAGTCCTCTGGGACCTTGATAGTTTTCCCTTCCACAAGACATCACACTGGTTCATTACACTGATGACATTCTGCTGACTGGAGCTAGTGAGGAAGAAGCATCAATGATCCTAGACTTACTAGTAAGACAGCTGTGTTTTATCGGGTAGGAAATTAATCTCACAAAAATTCAGGTGCCTTCCACCTCATTGAAGTTTCTAGGGGTCTAGTGGGATGGGGTATGTTAAGATTCTCTTTCTAAAATGAAGGAGAAGTTGTTGCATCTGGCCCCTTCTACAGCTGAAAAGGAGGCACAGTGCCTGGAGGGCCTCTTTGGATTTTGGAAGTAATATATCCCTTATCTGGGTATACTACTTTGACCTATTATCAAGTGACTGGAAAAACTGCTAGTTTATTTCTTAGTACTACCATGCCTGTGGAAAATTTCAGCAACCCAATTTTGGTATGACTTCTAGTGGACCAGACACTTCAGGAATGAAAGATTGGGTCACCTCACCAGGCAAAGAACCGTAACCAACTGAAGTGTTTGCTGAGGGCAAAGGGGAAGTGGGAAGGGTAGTGAAAGAAGGTAATTCTAAATACCAGCTACAAGCACATGACCAGTGTTAGAAGCAAGGATTGTAATTGTTATGTTTCTGTCTTGTTTTATCTTATGTGCATGTGTACACACACACAAGGTAAAATCAAAAAGCTTTGCTATTAAGGTTCCAGTTCATATATACAGGATTTATCCCTAACAACCACCATTTGCCTGTCAGTTTGTTGTGCTGTGTGTTGCTGTGATGCTAGAAGCTATGCCACCAGTATTTTAAATACCTGCAGGATCACCCATGGTAGACAGGTTTCAGTAGAGCTTCCAGATGAAGACACACTAGGAAGGAAAGGCAGACCACTTCTGAATGATTAGTTACTAAAAACGTTATGAATAGCAGCAGTATGTTGTCAGAGATAGTGCTGAAAGTAGAACCTCTCGGGTTTAAAAGGCACCCAAAATACTACCTTAAGGACACAGATAGAACAAGCCTTAGGGCCTTCATTTGCTAATATGGCACAACTCAAAGTGAGAAGAAACCACTGCAAACATCCATTAATAATCAAACGTGGAACATATGAAATATGAATTTAGAAAAATTGGAAGTCTCAAAAATGAAATGAAATGAACACATAAAGGTCAATATCCTAGGCATTGGTGAGCTGAAATGGACTGGTATTGACCATTTTGAATCAGATAATTATATGATTTACTATGCTGGGATCTGCAGATTGAAAAGGAACAGCGTTGCATTCATTGCCAAAAGAGCGTTTCTACATCTATCTTGAAGTACAGCGCTGTCTGTGATAGGATACTATCTATACGCTGACTAGGAAGGCCAGTTAGTACCGGTATTACTCAAATTTGTGCATCCATTACTAAAAAGATTTAAGATATTTCTTGATGCTACCATGCCATGTGGAAAATTACAGCAACCCAATTCTGACATGACTTTTAATGGACCAGATGCTTCAGAAATGAAGGCTTGATGAAACAAGTGATGATGAAATGGAAGAATTCTACCAACTAATTCAGTCTGAAATTGATCAAACTTGCAATCAAGATGTATTGATAATTACTGATGACTGAAATGAGAAAGCTGGAAACTAAGAAGGATCCATAGTTGGAAAATATGGCTTTGAGCTGGAGATTGAATAACAGAACTTTTCAAAACCAAGACTTACTCATTGCAAATACCTTTTTCCAGTGGGGACTGTCTCCATGGACGTCACCAGATGGACTACACAGGAATCAAATTGACTACATCTGTGATAAGAGATGGTGGAGAAGTTCAGTATTATCAGCCAAAACAAAGTCAGGGGCCAACTGAACGATAGACCATCAATTGCTCATGCTGAAGAAAATTAAAAAACAACTCTACAGGAGCCAAAAATAGGAGCTTGAATATATCCCACCTGAATTTAGAGACTATTTAAAGAACAGATTTGATGTATTAGACGTTAAGACCGAAGACCAAAAGAATTGTGGGATAACATCAAGAACATCATATATAAAGCAAAAGGTCCTTAAAAAGACAACAACGAAAGAAAATACAAAAATGGATGTCAGCAGAGACTCTGATACTTGCTTTGAATGTAGAGAAGCTAATGATGAAGTCAAAGGGCTGAACAAAAAATTTCAAAAAGTAGCTAAAGAGGCCAAAGTAAATATGATAATGACATGCACAAAGACCTGCAGTTAGAAAATCAAAGGGGAAGAACATGCTCTGCATTTCTTCAGGTGAAAGAACTGAAGAAAAAATTTAAGCCTCGACTTATAATTTTGAAGAACTCTATGGGCAAAATGTTGAATGACAGGAAGCACAAAAAAAAGATGGAATGAATACACAGAGTTACTATACCATAAAGAATTGGTCAGTGTTCAGTCATTTTGAGAGGTACCATATGATCAAGAACCAGTGGTACTAAAGACAGAAGTCCAAGCAGCACTAAAGGCATTGGCAAAAAAACAAAGCTCTAGGAATTGATGGAATACAAATTGAAATGGAAACTGATGCAGTGCTCATTCATCTATGCCAAGAAATTTGGAAGATAACCTGACCAGCCAGTTGGAAGAGAACTATATTTGTGTCCATTCCTAAGAAAGGTAACCGAACAGAATGCAGACATCTTACAATATCATTAATATCACATACAAGTAAAGTTTTGATGAATGTAATTCCAAAGTGGTTGCTGCAGTACATTGACAGGTTGCTGCCAGAAATTCAAGCCAGATTCAGAAGAGGCCATGGAACTAGGTATATCATTGCTGACATAAGATGGATATTGGCTGGAAGCAGAGAATTCCAGAAAGATGTTTACTTGTGCTTTATTGACTGTGTAGATCATAACAAACTATGAATAACATTGTGAAGAATGGGTATTCCAGAACACTTAACTGTGCTCATGAGGAACCTGTATGCAGACCAAGAAGCAGTCATTAGAATAAGGGGGATACTGAATGATTTAAATCCAGGAAAGGTGTGCACTACGGTAGTATCCTTTCACTTATTCAATCTGTATGCTGAGCAAATAATATGAGAAGCAGGATTATGCCTTCAATAGTGGCATCAGAATTGGAGGGAAGAGTCATCTGCTATATGTAGATGACACAACCTTGCTTGCTGGGAGTGAAGAGGACTTAAAATACTTACTGATGAAGATTGCAATACATTGCACCCTATTGTAAAGAAAACAAAAATCCTCACAACTGGATCAATAAATAATACGTTAAATGGAAAAAAGAGTAAAGGTATCAAAGACTTACTTTGATCAGATCCACAGTCAACACCCATGGAAGTAGCAGTCAAGATTAATGATGTATTGCATTCAGATAATCTTCTCCAAAATACCTCTTTAAAGTGTTCAAGAGCAAAGATGGCACTTTGAGGACTCTTAAGGGGACAGATTTTTTTTTTTTTTTTTTTTTTT